ATTCTAGAGACGGTAGCTTCCCTAGAAGGACTTATTAAAAGGATTATGAACTGCTTGGTTAAACCGAGCCGATCGGTCATGTAGAGACGGTAGCTTCCCTAGAAGGACTTATTATAAGATTATGAACTGCTTGGTTAAACCGAGCCGATCGGTCATGTAGAGACGGTAGCTTCCCTAGAGGGACCTCTTATAGGATCATGAACTGCTTGGTTAAACCGAGCCGATCGCCTATCTAGAAACGATAGCTTCCCTAGAAGGACTTATTAATAGGATTATTAACTGCTTGGTTAAACCGAACCGATCGGTCATGCAGAGACGGTAGCTTCCCTAGAAGGACTTATTATAAGATTATGAACTGCTTGGTTAAACCGAGCCGATCATGTAGAGACGGTAGCTTCCGTAGAGACGATGACTTCCCTAGAATTGATACTTGTAGGCTTACATACTGCTTGGTTACACGGAATCGAGAAACGGGGGATTCCCTATAGCGACCACTTATTGGTTTATAAACTGCTTGATTAAACCGAGCCGATCGGCTATCTCCAACCCCTTGTGGAATTAAACTCCTGACCTGGCCGCATTGCCGACAAATAAAAAAAACCCAAAATAAATCTACGACATAAAAAAAATACATTACAATTCCTGAGTATACCATATGATTTTTTTTTCATTTCAGCTACTCCGTGGATTATACGGCAGTTATCTTGACAAGAGCCTAGGTGGCGCTGCTACCCCAGCAGTAAAAGCGGCTTGGGACAAATTCTTTGAGTGCTTTGACAACCTTGTTGAGAAATTCCAGGCGTAAAGGGTTAATGTCTATTAGTAGGATAGGTTTAAAGGGTTAATAGAAAGGTTAAAATTTTCGTGTACGCAGTATAGTTTAATGTGTAGGGAGAATAACAGATTGTGCAAATTTAACAGAATGCGCAAATTTAACACGTCATCACGTTACACATAGTGCGTGTACAGAAATCTTAACCAGTCTGACATTGAATGTTAACCCTTTCCGTTCGAGTAGCCGCAAAAGTATTATATTATATATATATATATCAGATATGCTTGACGCGCATTTGTTACATTTTTTATACATTCATTAAGATATATTTTTGTTATAAGCATGAATTAGATTTAACTTTATTAACTGCCAAATTTGAAATCTGTTCTTACACAAAAGACTCATTGATTCAATAGATCGAAAGTAGATCAAGGGCTGAAATCGAAAGTAGATTACGTCACGGACTGAAATTGAAAGTAGATTCGTTTCAGATTACCAACAAACAAAATAATATTTTGTCATTCTTGTTTTAAAAATAAATTTAATAATCCACCTCCTACCTCACATTTCGAAAAATAAAAAGGCGATAAAGAAAATCAAATTGCGAGAGAAAATGCATACTAAGAGCGAAAAAAGTACAAACGGCGGAAATGGAATGGGTAATTCGGTAATTAATTAGTGTGGCAGAATGAACTGAAATGAAACCAGCCACAGTTGGATATGAGTTCGATTTTAATAACTAACTAACTTTGGCGGCCATGTTAGATACAAAAATGCACCTTTAACAACATTTTGTTGGGCGGCCATGTTAGATCCGAAAATACGCCTTTAAAATCATTTTGTTAGGCGGCCACGTTGGATACGAAAGTACACCTTTAAAATCATTTTGTTAAGCGGCCATGCTGGATACGAAAGTACGCCTTTAAAATCAAACTGTGACAACAAATAAACAACCAGACAAAAATGTTTTTGTGTTTTTGTTGGTCACAAGTAATAACATTAAGCTGCCCACCATTTTTAAAATTGTGTGGGATTAGTTATTAAGTCTAGACTAGATAAATAACTTGGTCGGCAGTCAAAGCACGATTTTTTGTTTGTTGGTATATATATTTAGCAATCGGATAACTTGGGTTTTTCTTTCAGTTTTTTTTAATACATTCGTGACTAAGAAAAATAAAGGTTGGCGTATTACATAATTATCTTCACACAATAGATCTAAACTTTGGTGAGTCATAGATTTTTAACTGCGGTTGAAATTTCATAATTTTTAAGGAGATACCGTTACATTGAAGAAAACAGCACGAAGTTTATTATGGGTCTATAGGGCTTACTTTAAAAAATAGAATAATAAAAAAATAAATAAAAAAAAACATTTCGATAAACCTATACACGTAATATCACTCCTCAAATCGTGAATATCGAAACAATATCGTACAATTTATTTCGTTTCTTTATACATTCTGAAATTTTAACAGAGAACAAATGGAAAGATTCTACCTACTTATTTCGTTTCTTTATACATTCTGAAATTTTAACGGAGGACGAATGGAAAGATTCTAAGAGATTATTTCGTATCTTTATACATTCTGAAATTTTAACGGAAAACGAATGGGAAGTAATTTTTAATCGGATACATACACGTCATTGTAAAACGTTTATCAAAGGACGATGTAACTTGTTTATTTTTCTATTATGCTTAACTTAAATATTCATATTATATGCATCGATACTTTTTTTTAGCTGACTTAGAATAAAGTTGTTTAAAAAAACAAAAACAGTGTTGATTTCTTGAATTGTTGGCTCAGGCGGTAAGCATAATTATAAAATAAGACAACTTGTGTGCGATATAACATCGGTGGAAGCGGGCGTTAAACACTAATAGAAGAAGTATTATGTGCCGGGAGAAAAAAGCAAATAGCAGGAAATGTTGAAACCGGTTCCAGGGGTGGGGATGAGGCGAATGGTTAAAGCGTGCGCGTTGGATCATAAGGTCTGTCATTGAGTGGGTGGGTTGGATGGCCGAATGGTTAACTCATGCGCGCTATATCATAAGGTCAGTCATTGAGTCAACTGGCGTGGGTCGCCTGTCCAACCTCGTGGGTTTCCTCCGAGTCCTCCGGTTTCCTTCCACTGCTAAAGACCCCCTACGCACAAATGAATTGTTGAAATTCAACCATGTGTTAGTCCCGAAATGATCTAGTTTGTGTCGTGTGGACGTTAAACCCCATTTCTCTCTCTCTCCCTGCCATAATTTTTGATTCTCCGTTTGTACGTGACAAGGTGTAGGGTCGCCTCGCCTTCCAACCTCCCATTGCTAAAGACCCCTACGTGCAGGCAAATATTGCAATAAAATTGAACCATATGTTAGTCCGAAATAACCTAGTTTGTGTCGAGTGGACGTTAAACCTTATTTCTGTCTCTCTGGTACCAGTTGCTTATCTATTCGTCCTCACTACTCTGTCAAAATTGTCTACAATGGGGTATAGAAATTGAAAAATGAGATTTCGGTAATATGCCTTAATATTTCTCACTGTAAATAATGGGGGGGGGGGATAGAGAGAGAGAGGGAGAGAGAGAGAGAGATGAAATGAAATGGATTAATGAAGACGGGAATGGTGGGGAGAGAAAGTGTGCTTCTATATTTCTCATTCTAAATACATGTATGTAAAAGGAATTGAGGAATAGTGGCTGCATTTACATACCAGTCACCACATGGTTCAACCTCATTTACACACCAGTCACCGCATGGTTCAACCTCATTTACATACCAGTCGCCACATGGTTCAACCTCATTTACACACCAGTTACATGGTTCAACCTCATTTACAAACCAGTCACCACATGGTTCAACCTCGTTTACACACCAGTCACCACATGGTTCAACCTCATTTACACACCTGTCACCACATGGTCCAACCTCATATACACACCAGTCACCACATGGTTCAGCCCCATTTACATACCAGTCACCACATGGTTCAACCTCATTTACATACCAGGCACCACATGGTTCAACCCCATTTCTATGATTCACATGCGCGTAGGTGTCTTTAGCAGCGGGAAGAGAGAGAGAAAAATTGGGTTTAACGTCCACTCGACACAAGCTAGGTCATTTCGGGACTAACATATGGTTTAATTTTATTTCAATAATTCGCTTGCGCGTAAGGGTCTTTAGCAGTGGGAGGAAACCGGAGGACCCGGAGAAAACCCACGAGGTTGGACAGGCGTCCCTACTCCTTGCCACGTACAACCGGGGATTCGAAACCACGCCAGTCGACTCAATGACAGCCTTTATGATACAGCGCGCGCACGCTAACCATTCAGCCACCCAACCCCCCAGCAGCGGGAAGAAATCGGAGTATCCGAAGAAAACCCACGAGGTTGAACATGCAACCCTACTTCTTGCCACGTACACGTGTGGGATCAAAACTGTGCCACTATATAAAGGAATTGGATACTCCGGATTCTAAGCTCGGCTGTCAGTGGTGCATGGCGGAGGGAGGGGGCGAATTGGGGTTTAACATCCAATCGAAAAAGATTATCTCATTTGGTTCAATTTTAGTCCAATAATATGCTTGCGCGTAGGGTTCTTTAGCGGGAAACCGGAGGACCCGGACAAACGCCACAAGGTTGGACAAGCGAAACCAAGCCACTTTGTGATCAAAACCCACGAGGATGAGACTTGCGACCCTACCCCTTGTCATGTAGAGATGGGGAATTGAAACGTCACTGGACTTAATAACAGACAATGGGATCTAAAGTACAAGCTCTTACCCCCCCCCCCACCGCCGGGCAGAGGGCCTGTCAAGATAAACGTCTAGCCGTTTGTGTGGTACAAAAAAGGTTTTTGTCAGTGGTGCAGGGCGGACAGCCTATCAAGGAAAGTGTCTAGTCGTTCGTGTGGTACAAAAAAACGTTTTTGTCAGTGGTGCAGGGCGGAGAGCCTATCAAGGAAAGTGTCTAGTCGTTCGTGTGGTACAAAAAACGTTTTTGTCAGTGGTGCAGGGCGGACAGTCTATCAAGGAAAGTGTCTAGCCGTTCGTGTGGTACAAAAAACGTTTTTGTCAGTGGTGCAGGGCGGACAGCCTATCAAGGAAAGTGTCTAGTTGTTCGGCTGGTACAAAAAAAGGAACTATAACACGTGTATACCTTGGGCAGCACGAAAAAAATCTTTTTGAATTCGAAATAGCGCCGCCGCCCAGGAAAGGTGATATATAAAACCCGATTTCATTTCCAATACCTCCGTATATTATTATTATTACAGCATATTTATAGTGCGCCCTTTCATATAACATATTCGGGGGCACTTTACAAAGTGACAATATAATCATAAATAAACAACAAGATTACAGATATGTTAACGATTGTATAGTCAGTTAAAAGACTGATTAAAAAAATGAGTTTTAATAGAGATGTACAACATCTTAAACTAAATGGTAGATTATACCATAAAACAGGTGCTTGATAACTAAAAGAGCGCTGGCCACGTTTAAAGACCTATCTGTTTGACAGTTCTTACAGATAAACTTAGTTTTGTTAGCGCTTTGAGCAGGCATTTTGTTCTGAGTCTAACGCAATATAATAATCCTTACTATTATTATTTTTATTATTATTTCGAGTTGTCCATTTTGTAAGATTTTTCACCAGTGTGAATCTTCATATGTCGCAAAAAACTAGCTCTTCGTACAAAGGATACAGCACAAACATCACAAATAACTTGTCGAAATTTCTCATTATGCTTTTTCGTATGTTCTTCTACGTACTTTGTTTGGACCAGTCTATTGCACAATTTAGATTTGGATCTTTCTACCTCGGAAATTTTCCTATCCAGATCCCTTTCCCAATCACAATGATGCTTTCTAAAATGCATATTACACTCCATACTTCTCGCAGTGTTTCGTTTGATTATATACCTAATCCCAATAAACACTGCTTTAAGGAAGGCAAATTTCTGTTCCAAATTATGACTGGTCAATGGTCCGATTAACAACCAATAGCTAACTGGGTTACAAAAGCATTACGCTTAAAACTGAGCTCCAAATTGGACCAAATGTGTTTACATAACGTTACGGGAAAAATAGACAAAGTCCCTCAAAAGCTCAAGTATCAGAAGCCAATCTAGCAATGGCCAGAGAGGAATTTCTCAGGCCATTGCTTCAGGAATAAGATTACACTCAGTCTTCCGTTTATATGCTCTATCACAACCTTTACATTTGAACAGTTTTTTGTCTGGGTGGACAGACATATGACATGTGAGTTGACCTGCAAGACCAAAACCACGACCACATATTTCGCAACAATGATTCCTTTCCCTAGAATGAGTGACAGAATGTTTGGTCAGGGCACCTTTATCGCTGAATGCTGTACCACAAATATCACAAACAAAAGGTTTTTCTCCTGTGTGAAGTCGAGAGTGTGTCTGCAAACTGTCTTTGGATGACAAGTTCTTTCCACAGACTTGACACATAAAGTTTGTGGGATTACTGGTCGAAGTCGTCTAGATGAATGGCGTTTCATGTGAATTTCTTGGTTTTCAGGGCAAGCAAATGGCTCAAAGCTAACTGCACACTCAACTTGTTCTTCATCAGTGATATCACTTGCATCTTCCCTATTATCTTCTGCTTCACCCCCACTGTCCACTGCTCCATCCACGTCACCATCTGTCTCATCAAAATTTGTACATGTATCTTCTTCATCTCCAATGTCCACTGCTCCAACCCCATGACCTGCTGAATTATCTTCATTTCTATCTGTTTTAAGAGGTTCCCTTTCCAAACTTGTGTCTCACCAAACTGTGTTAGGATGACAAGTTCTTTCCTCAGACATCACACATAAAGGTTGGGGAATTACTGATCAAAGACTTTTTTAGATGAATGGCATTTCATGTGAATTTCAAGACTTTTAAGACAATCAAATGGCTTAAATCAAACTACACACTCATTTTTTTTTCTTCGTCAGCATCTTCCCTATCTTCTTCTGCTTCACCTCCAATGTCCATACCTCCATCCACATCACCATCTGAGTCATCAAAATTTGTATTCGCTTCATCGTCAATGTCATTTGCCTGATCCTCACTTGATTTATAAAAGAATTTCACATGAAATGGCTTCATTTCCGGCAGCTTTAAGAGGTCCGTTTTCTAAACTTTTGTTTAATATTTTGTGAGTTTTTAAGTGAAGACTTAAAGCGATCTTAGTTTCAAACAATTTATCACAGACATTACATTTAAAGGGGTTCCTTGAAAGAGTCGATGAAGGAGGGTTGCTAAGTGGCTTCAGTATCCCACATGTTGATTTGTTATCTGTTTTGTCCTCAATGCTGGCAGCTTTTTGTCTCTGGTTTTTGTGAAATTTCATATGGGATGTTAAACTCTGGCAGCTTTTAAAAGATCGGTTACAAATGCCACATACAATTGAATTCTTAGGAGTAGTTTCGATCATTGGCTTCAGCATCGTACTAGATGTAGATGCCTCGTCAACAATGTCATGTGCTTTGTTTTCAATTCTGTCTGGTTTAGGAGGATCAGATTCCAAAGTTTTGTCTACGATTTTGTTAGATCTCAAATGGAATATTAAATCATAATCAGAGGACTTCTTGGAAGGAGCAGCCTCGATCTTTGGCTTCAGCATCTGATTAGGTGTAGGTGCCCCATTAACACTGTCACATGCTTTGTCCTCATTGCTATCTGGTTTAGATGGTTCAGTTTCCAAATTTTTGTCTAAATGTTTGTGAGATCTCATATGCAACTTTAAAACCTGGTAGCTTTTAACAGATCTGTTACAAATGTCACAATCAATTGAATTCTTGGAAGGAGTCGTTGCTTTGTCCTCAATGCTGGCCTGTTCAGGAGGATCAGTTTCTAATTTTTTGTCTATGGTTTTGTGAGATCTCATATGTAATTTTAAACCTTGGCAGCTTTTAAAAGATCTGCTACAAATGTCACAGACATTTTTGTCCTCAATGCTTGCAGCTTTTTGTCTATGGTTTTTGTGAAATCTCATATGGGATGTTAAACTCTGGCAGCTTTTAAAAGATCGGTTACAAATGCCACATACAATTGAATTCTTAGGAGTAGTTTCGATCATTGGCATCAGCATCGTACTAGATGTAGATGCTCCGTCAACAATGTCATGCGCTTTGTCCTCAATGCTGGCCTGTTTAGGAGGATCAGATTCCAAATTTTTGTCAAACGTTTTGTGAGATGCCATATGATCACTTAAATTCATTTTGTTTTTAAACGACTTTCTACAAACATCACACACTAATAACTTCTTTGACAGGTGGGATTTGCCATGGGACTTCAGTCTTGTGACATTAAAAAATGATTTACTACAAACATCACATTGAAATAACTTCTTTGACAAGTGGGATTTGCCATGGGACTTCAAACTTGTGACATTAAAAAATGATTTACTACAAACATCACATTTAAAGGGTTTCTCACCCATATGAGTTTTTTTATGCTCTTTAAACGTAGCAGCATCATTAAATGATTTACTGCAAACATTACAATTTGTTTTAATTACATGAATTCGTGAATGTTTTAACAAAGAAATTATATCGCTGAATGATTCCTTACAAGTTATACATGGAAATGTCTTCCTTATTTTTTTATGAACTTTTTTGTGTTTAACCAACATTTTCTTTTGAGGAAATATTACATTGCATAATTCACACTGATGTTTTTTTGACGTAATTACCATTTGTTTTGCTGTTTTCGTAGCAACATGGTTTTTTTTAATAGTTTTACCACATGTTTTGTTTTGTTGTGCTTTTTTAATAACTGATTTGTTTGGTTTATGATGAATGTTTTTAGATTTATTGTTCCTTGAATCTGTTTTGGAGGAGTCGACTTTCCTTTGCCGCATTCCATTTTTCGGAACAGATTTTTTTTTATTAGTTTTACCAAACATTTTGTTTTGTTGAACTTTTTTAATAACTGATTTGTTTGGTTTATGATGAATGTTTTTAGATTTTTTGTTCCTTGAATCTGTTTTGGAGGAGTTGACTTTCCTTTGCTGCACTCCATTTTTCGGAACAGATTTTTCTTTATTAGTTTTACCAAACATTTTGTTTTGTTGAACTTTTTTAATAACAGATTTATTTGGTTTATGATGAATGTTTTTAGATTTTTTGTCTCTTGAATCTGTTTTGGAGGAGTTGACTTTCCTTTGCTGCGTTGCATTTTTCTGCCATGACTTTTTTGTTTTTGTTTGCTTTTTAAATTTTCTCTTGTGTACATGTATTGGTGGCTGGATACTGAATGTTGCTTCCAATTGGTCCGGAGTCAGCTCCAAATCAAACGGCTCTTCATAGTCTTCATGTGAATAATCATTAACTTGTTCCATTTGGCCTTGGTAATGCTCCTTCCCCATATTAACTTGTTCCATTTGGCCTATGTAATGCTCCTTCCCAAAATCAAAGTCGGTGGTTGGTTCCATTTTTATATTATGACTGAGAAGTGGTGAAAATATTAACCCATCCATTGGATTGTGGCTACGACACACGTAAACAGTTTGTAATGCATTGACTGTTTCTTCTAATGAGAAATTATGAGCATCTGGCATGATTTCACTGTCCATGTACTCCATTTTTATGTTGGAAATAAGAGCCATGTTGCTTGAGTACTGTAATAACCTGTAAAGAAAAGAATAGAAGTATTGAGCTTTAGAGAGAGAGAGAGAGAGAAATGGGGTTTAACGTCCACTCGACACAAACTAGGTCATTTCGGGACTAACATATGGTTCAATTTTATTTCAATAATTCGCTTGCGCGTAGGGGTCTTTAGCAGTGGGAGGAAACCGGAGGACCCGGAGAAAACCCACGAGGTTGGACAGGCGACCCTACTCCTTGTCACGTACAACCGGGGATTCGAAACCACGCCAGTCGACTCAATGACAGACTTTATGATACAGCGCGCGCACGCTAACCATTCAGCCATCCACCCCCGGGCTTAAGAGTAGCTTGATGAGTCAACAGAGGTGTTTATTGGTAAATGTGATACTTACATGCATAGTAAATAAAATGAAATGAAATGGGGTTTAAGCCTTAAGGCCTTACTGTTCTGTTCGAACTGGGCTAATGAGAGAGAAAGAGAGAACTAGGTCATTTCGGGACTAACACATGGTTCAATTTTACTTCAATAATTCGTTTGCGCATAGGGGTCTTTAGCAGTGGGAGGAAACTGGAGGACTCAGAGAAAACAGGCAACCCTGCTCCTTGTCACCTACAACCGGGGAATTAAAACCACGCCATTTCACTCAATGACAGACCTTATGATACAGCGCGCAAGTGCTAACCATTTGGAAAATTGTTCTAAAAGCAGATATTCATGTACAAAGTGATTTACATTGTACTTGACAAGGAGTAGGGTCGCCTGTCCAACCTTGTGGGTTTTCTCCGTTTTCTCCAGGTCCTCCGGGGGATCACGTGGCTAAGTGGGTAAGATGCTGGCTCCCTAGCCTGGAGGTCAGGTGTTCGATCCAGATTTTCCGGTGTGGTTTCCCCTTGTCAGTGATGCAGGACAGAGGGCCTAACAAGGACAGCTGTCCAGGCGTTTGGATGGGACAAAAAATTGAGGTCTCGTGTACATATTGGCGTGCACGTAAAAGATTCTTGCCAGTTGGAATTCGATATAAGAGTAGGACGTAGAGCCGCTGCCTGGGCAAAATTTCCCTCATAGCACACTGTATGGCATATGCCCGTCTTCATTAGTTTAGGAGCAGAACAGTAGGATGTTAAACCCCATTTCATTTCCGGGTCCTCCGGTTTCCTCATGGACACTTCTAAAGACCCTACGCGCTAGCGAATTATTGAAATAAAATTGAACCATACGTTAGTCCCGAAATGACCTAGTTTGTGTCGAGTGGGCGTTAAACCCCATTTCTCTCTCTCTCTTTGGGATGAGTTGTCTGGTTATCGGTATGACAGTTTGAATTGACTCCAGGTATTACCGGGTACTCAGTATGGCCCTCGCTAAAATTAACACCGTAGCTGCAAGTGCCATCTATTGTATTTTCTATACACTAGAACATATTTCCACGTGTACTCAGTATGGCCCTCGCTAAAATTAACACCGTAGCTGCAAGTGCCATCTATTGTATTTTCTATACACTAGAACATATTTCCACGTGTTTCAAAGCGGCAAACCGTAAAATGGCGGAGTGGATAGTGACAACGTAGACAATGCGATCTCGGCGAAGTCGTGAATGACATCTTCGCTGACCAAGACAGTGTGGACAATTTCGAGGCTGGTACTGATACACATAATTCGTTTCCAGTTAGTTGATAATAATAGTAGTCAGGACAGTGATTGGTAGTATGAAGTGCGTGATTTGTTGTGCGACCTTCCATCTATGGCTGTCTCCTGTGCATAATGAACAAGCCAAATGTGAACATGATAGCCCTATGTAGTATGTCTTCAGTAGATTCTGATGATAATTCTGATGTTGATAATAATCCTGGCCTGCTGGATCGTAAAAAATGTAGGCAATTCCTGAGTCCCAAACGTGTAGATCTATTGACTGACTATAGTGATAATGATATGGGACTTGAGGATGAAAGTGAAAGTGAAAGTAAAAACACGATATTGCAATCCGCACGTGGTCATGGCAGCGGGAGACGTGTTGTGCGTATTCGTAGTGGCATTGCTTATGGCTGCTATTGATATTTTTGTTCATTTTATATATCTTTATCAAAATCCAGTGAAAAAAACAATATCCCATAAGTATTTCATGGAGAAAAATTCGTTTTCTTGTTGGCTTTAGTGAGAAGTGAGAAATCCAAAATGGCCGCCATGACGTCAGTCACGTCACGTGACTACATGATTATGCAAACTTCCAAAATTCTATTTTTTCCTCTTAGCCCAACATCATGTCCATCCCAACACACAAAAACTATTTTCATAAAAGCTTCCATAAGTACTGTTTGGCATTTAGTGCCAAACTCACTTTTTCCTCAAAAAAGGGTCTAGCATAGGCAGTGGATTTACATCTAGCATTAAAAAGGTTAACAACGAAGCTATATCTACTTCTGGCAGTGTGAGATGGTTCCAGATCACTGACCAGTACAGGAAAAAGTACTACATATACCAAATGACAAAACTCTAATCAATAGAGCAGTGACTCTCAATCAGTGTGCTGCAAAATCTTCCAATGTGTGCCGCAAAATTTTGAACAGCACACTAAGAAAATGCGAAAAAACATATGATCCCAATTGATTATTCACTGGTGTCTTTATTTAGTTTAAGTCATTATATGTGTCTATGACTAGCCTCGCTCTACAGTTGTATGCCGTCTGACTTACCATGTTTTTATTTTACAAAATTCACGTATTTTTCATGTGTGTCCCTATTTTTCATGTGTTCCAAGGTGTGCCATTGGCAAAAAAAGGTTGAGAAAGAGAGAGAGAGAGAGAGAAAGGGTTTAACGTCCACTCAACACAAACTAGGTCATTTCTGGACTAACACATGGGGTTCAATTTTATTTCAATAATTCGCTTGCGTGTGGGGGTTTTTAGCAGTGGGAGGACCCGGAAATGAAATGGAGTTTAACGTCCTACTGTTCTGCTCCTAACCTGGGCTAATGAAGACGGGCATACGCCATACAGTGTGCTATGAGGGAAATTTTGCCCGGACAGCGGCCGGAGGACCTGGAGAAAACCCTCGAGGTTGGACAGGCGACCCTACTCCTTGTCATGTACAACTGGGGATTCGAAACCCCGCCAGTTGACTCAATGACAGACCGTATGATACAGCGCAGCGCACTAACCATTTGGCCATCCTCCCCCCCCCCCACTGCAATTATTGCAGTGCAATAGAGTTTTGTCATTAATAAACATACTTGTTATTGTGATTAGCTGTTGTTTTAGTGATAGTAGTTACTTGATCAACAGATTTAAGTTGATTGGCTTGAAATTGATACTTCTATCTTTCGTGATTTGTTGTCGTTGGTTTTTTTTTTGTGATGTCGTTACACTTTTTGATGTTTTAACTATGATTTAACAATTAACTATTTTGCAGATTGAATATTGGCCTTTATATGATTAGGAGTTTTCTGTATCATTGTTATTTTAATTTTGTACTTCTTATTAAAATTTTTACAACTTCTGTTCATGCCTATGTGTTTTATTACTCAAATACAAATCCTTTGTCGTGCAAACCATCGGTTCTAAATCTGAAAACACCGATTTCTTTAACATGAATATATATTTATCACCCCATTCCATACATAGAAAAGAAAAATGAAATGAAATGGGGTTTAACGTCCTACTGTTCTGCTCCTAACCTGGGCTAATGAAGACGGGCATACGCCATACAGTGTGCTATGAGGGAAATTTTGCCCGGGCAGCGTCGCTACGGCCTACTTTATATCGAATTCAAACTGCCAAGGGATCTTTAATGTGCACGCCAATGTGTACACGGGGCCTTGGTTTTTTCGTTCCATCCGAACGACTAGACCCTCCGTCCTGCATCACTGACAAGGGGAAACCACGCCGGAAAATTTGAATGAACTTTCTCATCCAATGCAGGGATCAAACACCTGACCTCCAGGCTAGGGAGCCAACGTCTTACCCACTTAGCCAGGTGATCCCCCTACATAGAAAAGAAAGTGACAATAAATACTCCAGGCTAGGGAGCCAGGGTTTTACCCACTTAGCCAGGTGATCCCCCTACATAGAAAAGAAAGTGACAATAAATACTCCTTGTAAATTTGGGTTCAAACATGCATTTCACAAGGTACAACTATTTTGTATTTAATTTTCTCATTTTGGACTGGAATATACTGAATATTAATAAAAATCGTCAATTTGTATTTCTACTTTTTATCGAAATAGACAAACAATAGAAACTCGACACCCTCTCCTTATTGGTAGATAATAGTGTAGAAACCGATTTTACTGTAAGGGAATGTTCAGAGAAAACCTATCACATGGAGTCAATGCACACCGTGTCCATAACGGTGTGAGCCAACTCCTACAACTGCGCATGCACTAAGCGGTAATCACACTCCAGGAACCATCTCACATTGTCACACCACCGCCCCCCCCCTCTACTTTCCTGTATATTAAATAATATAGATAAAAGCTCTGAAGCATTGCGCAAAGTGCTGTGCTTGAGAAAAGCTCTTTTCCGGTAATACAGGAGCGTAACTGAAATTGTCACCCACAGACTGTTGATTAAAAAAAAACAAGATACACTGGGCAACGTGCATGTCAACTTACCAAATCTCCCCCAAGCGAGATTACGCTTCTCATAGAACTATTTTGACGTCAATGAAAATAATTCTCACACTTTAGGGTTTGTTTTTTTTAAACAAAATTAATCATACAATTTGGATCTAAATTAAAATCAATTTGGAAAAACAAAATTATTTAACATTATTTGTAGCATTTGAGAAATTTAATTATAAAGGTAAAGTTTTTATATTTGACATTGTCATCAGCTTCGCTCTACTGTCACTGACCAAGACTGACTACTAGACTAGTACTCAGGCAGCAATAGAATATGCAAAGATAGGTTGCCAGGCAACGAAACATACGCCCACAGCAGCTAAATCGTCCGGGCAGTCAACAAGAGTTGTCGCATATTTTTACTTTTTTTCGTAATGAAACATTTATAATACACTAAAATCTGATTAAGAGCAACAACTCAGAAAACCATTAGAATTTGTTTGGTTTTTATAAAGTTCTGCCCCATGCTAACGTTTTGTATACAAAACTTTTAATACTGTATCATGTATTTAGCTGTTCCAAGTCATAAAAATTCATTGAAAATCAATATACTTGTTCGTCTCAAGATCTTAAACTCTGTGTATCAATCTGAAGTCAATCGGATATTAACTTTGGCCTCTAGAGCGTCCACAAGATTTTTCAAAGTGATCAAGGGCCATAACTTTGGCAGTAATTATCAGAAATCTTTGAAAATCAATAGGATTATTCGCCTTGTGACCTCAAACACTGTGTATAAATTTAAAGTCAATCAGATATTAACTTTAGCCTTTAGAGCATCCACAAGGTTTTTTGAATGGATCAAGGTCCATAACTCTGGCAGTAATTATCGAAAATCACTGAAAATGAATACACTTTTTCGTCTCATGACCTTAAACACTGTGTATAAAATTTAAAGTCAATCAGATATTAACTTTAGCCTTTAGAGCATCCACAAGGTTTTTTGAATGGATCAAGGGCCATAACTCTGGCAGTAATTATCGTAAATTGCTGAAAATCAATAGGATTCTTCGTCTCATGACCTTAAGCACTGTGTATAAATTTAAAGTCAATCGGATATTAACTTTTGCCTCTAGAGCGTCCACAAGATTTTTTGAAGTGATCACGGGCCATAACTCTGGCAGTAATTATCGGAAATCGCTGAAAATCAATAGGCTTCTTCGTCTCATGACCTTAAACACTGTGTATAAATTTAAAGTCAATCGGATATTAACTTTGGCCTCTAGAGCGTGCACAAGATTTTTTGAAGTGATCAAGGGCCATAACTCTGGCAGTAATTATCGGAAATCGCTGAAAATCAATAGGCTTCTTCGTCTCATGACCTTAAACACTGTGTATAAATTTAAAGTCAATCGGATATTAACTTTGGCCTCTAGAGCGTCCACAAGATTTTTTGAAGTGATCAAGGGCCATAACTCTGGCAGTAATTATCGGAAATCGCTGAAAAGCAATAGGCTTCTTCGTCTCATGACCTTAATGAATGAAATGGAGTTTAACGTCCTACTATTCTGCACTACGGCCTACTCTTATATCGAATTCCAACTGCCAAGGGATCTTTTACGTGCACGCCAATGTGTACACAGGACCTCGGTTTAGCTGGACTGGCGGACGGACCGACGGACGGACGGACGGGGGCGACGACAATATACGACCACATTTCAATGTGGGCGTATAAAAATGAAATGAAATGAAATGAAATGGGGTTTAACGTCCTACTGTTCTGCTCCTAACCTGGGCTAATGAAGACGGGTATACGCCATACAGTTTGCTATGAGGGAAATTTTGCCCGGACAGCGGCACTACGGCCTACTCTTATATTGAATTCCAACTGCCAAGGGATCTTTTACGTGCACGCCAATGTGTACACGGGACCTCGGTTTTTCGTCCCATCCGAACGACTAGACAGCTTTCCTTGTCCGCCCCGCATCACTCATTCACTGACAAGGGAGAACCACGCAATAGAATATGCCTGTTACATATTATAATATACTATAGTATAAATAAATGGTTCTCCATTACATGTTTTGTCACTATAAACTGTTGAACTATTGTGCAGGAAAACATCTAAATTAAAATACTCACCAGAGATTTAAAAGATATAACGACATGAAACAATACGAAGCAACATTATCCGGGGAAGCGAGACGCTCCGGAGATAAATGTCCTTGGTGTTGGTTGGTTGCATATAATGGACGAGGATCAGGCAGTCAAAATTTTCGCAGTGTGACTTATATCATCGATATTATATTATTTAAGTTTTTTCCGGTTTATCGTGAAACCAGTTTATAGAAATTTATTTACCAGGTTCTATCGACTCCTCGTCTCCAGTGCCGAATAATACCAATAGGTGAGGTTCGATCCAAAACCAGATAATATTATTATGTCGTTAATATCCGCCCTTGCTAGTCTTGTTGAACCAGCCACTTGTCTCTGATCCACCGCCGAACTAGGCCCGATTTCTAGAAGATTCTTAAGCACGTTCTTGAGCTTAGATTTTAAGCTTATCTTATTTTGTGTTCCCGGAAAATTCTTAAAAACATCCTTGTGCTTAGATTGTAAATAAATGGCTGACCGTAGAGATATTCGACGACATTCCCTACATCTTTTGATACCAAAAAGACAATTAAAAGACAGAATATAGAAATAGAAAACTTCGCTTCTACCCTGAAACCATTTTATTTATTTACCAATTAGTAATACTACTAACTAGTATATAGTAAACAACACAAACACGGGCAACTTTAAAATCAGGCGCTCTCACAATTATTCCGTCAGTTTAATTTGCATGTGCATTGCATTTTTTAGCTTGTACTGTAGCAAATTTTATATATGTTAAGGTGACATGCCAAATGCATCTAAATCACCATTTGCCGGGAAGTTAATGTCATTTCATTTATCTATTTATAACTCTCTGTGTGACTTAGTAATTAGTTGTTTGCGTTCGCTTGCTTTCACCGAGGTGATATCGCAGACAATTTTATAACTCTATGAGTCTAAGATAAGATTTTATTGCATCGAAACATCCATTTAGGACAACATACAATATAAACATGTACATAAAATTATAACAATGACAATTATAACACCAGACACACAGTATTGCATCGAAACCTCCCTATGCAGCCCAATATTGCAGCCGACCAATTTATGACGTAATTCGCATACCAAAATTGTTTTTATGACGTTAGAGAGCATCGTAGTCTCAATTTACCAGTCATTCTTGACTTGTGCTTACGGATGGTCTTGAGAATTTTCTAGAGACGGTATTTTATAAAGTTTATTACGTAAGTAAAAGTGAAGCATGACTCGATTTGCTTACTTTATATATTTTTTAGGAACCGGGCCTGGTCTCAATCTATTTCACAGCCGAAATACGAAAGCCTTCTTTTGACTTTGTAGAGATGAATTAATTCACATCATACGGCCTCGGCAGCATCAAAATTGAGTTACTCAATCAATATCGAGATATCTATCTATATATATATTTGTGACTGTCGTTTGTCTGTCTGTCTGTCTGTTCGGGGTTGGCGGCTAGGTCTGCCCCGAGTCTGAAATTTGGGGTATAGGGGTAGCTCGGACTGGGGAGTAACATAGGCCAGGTGGCGTTAGTCTACCACTTCCGGTTTCGGAGTTATGACCCCCGAGCGAAGCCGGTCTGTTCGGGGTTGGCGGCTACACTAGGTCTGCCCCGAGTCTGAAATTTGGGGTATAGGGGTAGCTCGGACCGTGGAGTAACATAGGCCAGGTGGCGTTAGTCTACCACATCCGGTTTCGGAGTTATGACCCCCGAGCGAAGTCTGTTCGGGGTTGGCGGCTACATCTGCCCCGAGTCTGAAATTTGGGGTATAGGGGAAGCTCGGACCGGGGAGTAACATAGGCCAGGTGGCGTTAGTCTACCACTTCCGGTTTCGGAGTTATGACCCCCGAGCGAAGCCGGTCTGTTCGGGGTTGGCGGCTACACAAGGTCTGCCCCGAGTCTGAAATTTGGTGTATTGGGGTAGCTCGGACCGGGGAGTAACATAGGCCAGGTGGCGTTAGTCTACCACTTCCGGTTTCGGAGTTATGACCCCCGAGCGAAGTCTGTTCGGGGTTGGCGGCTACACTAGGTCTGCCCCGAGTCTGAAATTTGGGGTATAGGGGTAGCTCGGACCGGGGAGTAATATAGGCCAGGTGGCGTTAGTCTACCACTTCCGGTTTCGGAGTTATGACCCCCGAGCGAAGCCGGTCTGTTCGGGATTGGCGGCTACACTAGGTCTGCCCCGAGTCTGAAATTTCGGGTATAGGGGTAGCTCGGACCGGGGAGTATAGTAGGCCAGGTGGCGTTAGTCTACCACTTCCGGTTTTGGAGTTATGACCCCCGAGCGAAGCCGGGTATCCTGCTAGTTAAATCATAATGAAAGGAACGCGACCTGTTCTTGTCTGCCCTTCCCCAAAATATGCTTAAAACTGAATTGTTTTATTGAGAGAGGGAGAAAGGTGGGGTTTAACATCCACTCGAAATAAACTAGGTGATTTCGGAACTAACATTTGGTTTAATTTTGTTTCAATAATGCGCTAGCTAGCGCGTATGTGTCTTTAGCAGTGGGAGGAAATCGTGGGACCTGGCGGAATTGTTTTAGAGTTTAATAGTTTTAACAGCAAGAGTGAATTAACTCGCCCCTTTTAGCCATATATATAGTTACAGCCAAGGCAATATTTACTGCTCATCAATGAATATTGAAACCTCATTAACTCTCTCCGATTTCACCCTATCAGTTTGTCAGGATACCGCAGCACTCAATGTCGAAACACACTCGGAGTTGAGAGACTGGTTCAACAAGACTATCAAAGGCCGCTATTAGTAACATGGTTTTGGATCGATCCTCTCCAATTTCTTTTAGTTGTCCTGCCGATGAGGACTTGATAAAACCCAGGAAATAAACTTCTATAAACTAAGCCAATTAGAATCAGAAATAACTTAAATGACATCATAATATCCACAATAACCTACACTTTGATGGCTTGATCCCCGTCTGTTATATGAAACCAACCAATGTCATAATTATCTCCCCTGGACATTGTTGTTGCCGTGAACCGTTTTCTATTCTTTTTTTTTTATATTATTTAAGACAAATTACTCTGGTAAGTTATTGGATTCATTCATGCAAATCATTCATTTGTTTAAAAGTGGAAAATCTGAGAAAACAGTCAATGGGGAACTAGCACAATGAATTATCAATGTTATTATTTCTGATTGAACAGTTGATTTGATGAAAGTGAACGTCTTGATTTTGTTATAAACTTGACCATTTTAACTTGACCATTATAACCTTCACGATCGTGTTTTAAACTTGAAGTTTTCACGTTTATGTTATAAATTTGAAGACTTGTTGTTTGACTACAAAACTTGCTCAAAGGAAGGCCTTAGGACGGTCCACTACTGTGGCTGGAGCAAGATGGAAGACATCAGTAGTGTGGAACCTTCTAGAAGGGTTATAGACATAACGGCCCAAAAATTTAGTCATAATGACCAAAATATTTAGCTGAAACAGCGAAAAAATTTGGTCGAAACGGCCTAACAATTTGGTCATAAGAGCCATAATAAAACAAACCATTTATTACATGTGGGAAATGACATTTATTATATAAAAATATTGTTTAATAGATAATATAAATACATACATTACATAAACATTAATTTATAAAAAAAAAAACCCAAACCATTTATTGCATAATAGATAATATAAATTATTTCTATACATACATAGACATTTAACATTTAACTATAATATTATATATAGATATTACATTGTATAAAACATACAAAATATAATATTCAGTCAAGATATCTCCTTTACACTACTGGACCATGAACTCTGGTACATATCCGTAGCAGTGCTTAAGACACTGATTGGAGATAGCCATTTCTTTTACCTTTATTTGATAAAAAAATAAATGATTAATGTTTATCTCTTATTACATGTACCTACTCAGACCAGAGGGTGTGAAGTCCCTAATTAGGGATTACCTAATCAGTTGATTAATTAGTACTCACCTCTTTCCTTTGAATAATTTCACATGGTTTGTATAACTGTAGCACCACATCGATGTTTTGTTGTCCTTATGCTACAGCGCCAATACACCCTTCTCTCAGTTGAAGACTTCTTGGCATATGTATATGAGAATAGATATACTATATCTATTCTCATCTACTAATTTATTTTTTCCTTTCTGCGACCCACTATATATACCACTGTAAACTTTAGTACAGTTGTACCTGAACTTGGTTCACACACCATATCTTCCTACATTGATCTTTCAAACATCCTCATGGAAAGATATATTTGTTGTTGGTGTAATAATATTGGACCAGGGCTGTCGGTAATTTTTCACAGTTGATTAGCAGTACTGCTTATCGAAAAGTCCAAGTAATATTAAAAATTAAAAAATGTTTGTGGCCGTCATGACCAAATTTTTTGGCCATTATAACCAAATTGTTTGGCCGTTATAACCAAACTGTTTGGCCGTTATGACTAAAGTAGGGCCGTTTTGAACAAACCTGTTTTTGGCCGTTATGGCATAGGGTCGTTATGACTACATCCCTTCTAGAACTAGAATTGTTTGTATTATAAACTTGAAGACTTGACCTTTGTTTATGTTATAAACCTAATGACTTGACTTTTGTGTTATAAACTTGAAGACTTGACGTTCGTGTTATAAACTTGAAGACTTGACATTTGTTAGCTGCAATAGTTGTAGCCATGATAATTCTTTTTCACGGCTACAATTGATACACTATTCAAGGCTTTGAGCAAGTAAAATTAGGTTCAATTGCAAAATTTTTAACACATATCATCACAGTTTGCATGGAAATACATGTAAGTAATTATGTTACAAATAGTGAAGAGTGGAAGACTGAAATCTTAATTTTAACTTACCATCAATACCGAACAGTTTTTCTGTATTTTCGAGAGACATTAGATCATGTGATTCTGGGTTGGCAGCCATTTTAAAATGATCAGAAATTTCGCATAGCAGTTGGGTTTTAGGGTTTAATCAAATCATATAATGATGCGGTAATGTTTCACCTTGGTTTATTATATGTCAAGCTATGTACAGTACAGTTTGGAATCAGTGTAATTAGAAATTAAGGGAGATATAGGCCAATAACTTTTTTGTAGTCAAATGATTACAAAACTTGCTCAAAGGAAGGCCTTAGGACGGTCCACTACGGTGGCTGGAGCAAAACGGAAGACATCAGTAGTGGAACCATTTCTAGATATTTGTTAGTATGCTGATTACACTATTTTGCCTTATTACACTATTTTGCCTATTCCGTTTTTTTTAGGACTTCGAATTTTGTCTAATGGTTTGGATTGTTCGTACTTGGTTTTATTTTATTAATATTATAAACTTGAAGACTTGATGTTTGTGTTGTAAATTTGATGACTTGACATTGACGTTTGTGTTATAAACTTGATGACTTGACGTTTCTTCACACTTGTGTTATGAAAATTACAGATGTAGGACAAGGAATTCATGTACTCCCTCTTAAGCTTGCGAAAGGCACTAGCTCATTCACCAAAAAGTCCAGGTTTCCGGGGTTGGCTGATTTTACAGGGGTGTAGGACAGAGAGGGCACCTAGGGCTGTAGAACGAACCACCAGATACCCCTTGTGAGTGGTGCAGGAAGGGAAAAAGTCTAATTGTTCGGATGGGATGGAAACCAATTCCCCATTGGTGTGCACGTAAAAGAACCCTTGGCAGTTGTAATTCAGTAAAGTAGGCCGTAGTGCTGCTGTCCCGACAAAATGTCCTTCATTGCTGACCGAATGGCGTATGCCCAGTCAGAGCAGAACAGTAGGACATTAATACCACATTTCATTTCTGTTTGTGTTAAGCAACCAGGTTCTACAGTGTATCTTGTTTATGATCAAGTAGGGTCGCCTGTCCAACCTTGTGGGTTTCTCCGGGTCCTCCGGTTTCCTCCCACTGCTAAAGACCCCATATGTTTGTCCCGAAATGACCTAGTTTGTGTTGAGTGGACGTTAAACCCCATTTCTCTCTCTCAATCTGTTTATGACCAGTGGCATTAATAATATCTCCAAATACATATAAAATATTTTTAAAATCAATACATTTCTATTGAAATCCTTATACAGCATTTAGTAATTGAACATATAATATAAAAACGCAAATTTATATGGAAAACAATCACTGATTTTATTTCACACTACATTTCAACAAGTTCCTCTTGTTGTTCTCAAGTAATGATGGTTTCCCCTTGTCAGTGATGCAGAACGGAGGGTCTGACAAGGAAGGCTGTCTAGTCGTTCGGATGGTGCAAAAAACAAATGTCCCATGTACACATTGGCGTGCACGTAAAAGATTCCTTGGCAGTTGGAATTCGATATAAGAGTAGGCCATAGCGCCGCTGCCCGGGCAAAATTTCCCTTATAGCACATTGTATGTCGTATGGTCGTCTTCATTAGCCCAGTTTAGGAGCAGAACAGTAGGACGTTAAACCCCATTTCATTTCTCAAGTAATGACAGTATAATAGCAAGAAATTAAATTATTCACAAGGTAACAAAAACAGTAACTAATCTTCAACCATCAAAGGGCTAATAAAAAAGAACAATAATAACAATACAAATGGACATCAAAGACTAGGATTAAGTAAGATACATGTATCATAACTCCTTGGAAGATATAATCCCTCGTCTCTATTAAGTTCAGGTTTAAATCTCTTGATTTGGATGGCTTCTTGTAGTTTTGTGGATTTCTTGTTTTAGAGATGTTTGTTTAGCACTTGGACCTCATAATAGTTTACTTGGTGGCATGGTGGCATTTGGTGGTTTAGGTGTTCATATACAGCTGATTTGTTGTCTGTGCTTCTCAATTGATGTTGTTTCAACCTCTTTACAAGTGGGCATTTCATTTCACTGATGTATTTCTTTGAACAGGAACACATGATTTGGTACACGCAGCCCTTAGGTTGTTTATCTGTTGAAGATTCAGTCTTTCCATTGGCACCAAGGATGTCTTTTATGATTTTACCAGTTTTGATGTAGACTTTGATACCCGCTTCTTGGAGGATTCTTCTTATCTTGTAAGAGATATTTCCTTGAAATGGTACTGTAATAGCTATCGGGAGATCTTCTTTAGGGGGTCAGGCATTATTTCTGTTGTTAATGCTTGACGTAACAGTTTTCTCAACGAGCTCTCTGGGGTACTGATATAGATTAATAAACATGTTCCTGATATGGTTTAACTCCTCTTCTAGTTGGTCATCACTGCAAATTTTGTGGGCCCGGGGTAAGGGTGGCAACGATCCCTTTTTGTTTCAAGGGGGTGGTTATAATGAAAATTTAGGTACTGGTCCGTCGGTGTAGGTTTCCTATAGACACTAGTTTTAATGATTCCATCTTCTCTTTTTGAAAAGTAGTGTGAAATAAAATCATTGATTGTTTTCCATATAAATTTGTGTTTTTATATTACAATTCTTATTGCCTGCTTTCTTTTGTAGCTGTGAATCGTCCATGGGATCGTATCCTCAGTTAAAGGAGCAACATCGCTAATATTTTGGACCTAGAAATTGGCACAAATGAGTCGCAACACATATAATAATGTAATATGAATTTATATAAACTGTTTTACATTCAATCGTGTCAGTTTTACTGTGAATTGTCATCAGTTATGTTCGGCGAAATACGCCAGAAGTCTCAACCGCTAGTCAGTTTTTAGCGTCTAGTTATTCCAGTCAATACCGATATTATTTATTGCGCATGCTCTCCAAATAAGAATATGATATCACCCTTCGACATGACTGGTGGAATATGTCTAGCCTCATTCTTTGAGTACCTTGTTACAAATGGCGCTGAAACGCATTATGGTACACGATTCGTGTACCAATTGTAAAATGTTTATTTTGTCTTAAATATTGGATATCAGAAGCCCATCTTTTCCATGTAAGATCACAACACCAATGCTGATTTAAATTGCCAAAAAATTCGTGATTTCAATGTCGAAGGTTTTGGATGATATTGAGTTACGGACTTAGCTACTTTAAACTTCATTTCATTTCATTTCACTAACTGAATATACATTTAGTGTCATGTGAAACTCCAGTAATGGGCGGGGGGGGAGGGGTGGTTGGCTGAATGGTTAGCACGTTCGCGCTGTATCAGAAAGCCTGTCATTGAGTCAACTGGCATGGTTTCGAATCCCCGGTTGTACGTGACAAGGAGTAGGGTCGCCTGTCCAACCTCGTGGGTTTTCTCTGGGTCCTCCGGTTTCCTCCCACTGATAAAGACCCCTACGCGCAAGCGAATTATTGAAATAGAATTAAACCATATGCTAATCCTGAAATGTTCTAGTTTGTGTCGAGTGGACATTAAACCCCATTTCTCTCTCTCTCTCTCCAAAGCAATGCACTGCATCAAGAAATTATGCCTGTGTGCAGGGGTGGATCAAGGAATTTTTGCATGAGGAGGTTAACCAGGCTCCTGTTAAAGTAGCTAAGTCTCTAACTCAATATCATCCAAAATCTTCGACATTGAAAACTCGATTTATTTGTCGGTTTAAATCAACATTGATGTTGTGATGTTACCGGGAAAAGATGGGCTTCTGATATCCAATATTTAAGACAAAATAAACATTTTACCATTGGTACACGATTCGTGTACCAAAATGCGTTTCAGGCCCATTCTAACAAGGGACTCGAAGAACGAGGCTAGACATTCAACAAGTCATGTGAAACGGTGACCGTATATTCATATCGGGAGAGTATGCGCAATAAATACTATGCAGACTAGAATAACCAGGGGCTAGTTGTTTAAAGAGAGAGATCCAACACCCTGTTTGATGTCAATTTTTATTATGAATTAATAGGATCACATTGTGATTCAACTTCATTGATGCAAAGCATTAATTGTGATATCATACATGTCTATATCATTATTTCACGCTTTGAATGTCCATCCCATCCCACCATCTGATAATAAATGATAATGCACAGGACCGTTACACTTTTCTCACAAAGTGTTGTTTTACAATGTTTGTTATGTAGCTGAGCAGGGTGGGGTTTCGACCCCCCCCCCCCCTCTGGATCCGCCCCTGGTATAATAGAGTTCATTACCTATAGTACATGTATATATATTCTTTTCAGGTTAATACAGTGCTCAAGCTCCCAGACTCATCTTTAATTATTTCCATTCTTTTCTTTTCAGGTTAATACGGTACTCAAGCAACATGGCTCTTAATTCAAACATAAAAATGGAGTACATGGACAGTGAAATCATGCCAGATGCTCATAATTTCTCATTAGAAGAAACAGTCAATGCATTAGAAACTGTTAATGTGTGTCATAGTCACAATCCAATGGATGGGTTAATATTTTCACCACTTCTCAGTAAGGATATAAAAATGGAACCACCAACGGATCTTAATATGGAGCAGGAGCATTTCATAGACCAAAAGGAACAATTTAATGATTATTCACATGAAGAATTTCAAGAGCCTATTGATTTAGAGATGACTCCAGACCAACTTCAAGCCTCATTCAATATCCAACCACCAATACATGTACAAACGAGAAAATTTAAAAAGTCAACAAATACAAAACAGTCATGGAAGAAAAATAAAACGCGACAAAGGAAAGTCGACTCCACCAAGACAGATTCAAGAATCAAAAATTCAAAAAACGTTCATCATAAACCAAATAAATCAGTTACCGGTATTAAAAAAGCTCAGCAAAACAAAACATTTAGTAAAACTATTAAAAAAAACCATGTTGCTACGAAAACAGCAAAACAAATGGCAATAACGTCAAAGAAACATCAGTGTGAATTATGCAATGTAATATTTCCTCAGAAGAAAATGTTGGTTAAACACAAAAAAGTTCATAAAAAAATAAAGAAGACATTTCCATGTACAACCTGTAAGGAATCATTCAGCGATATAATTTCTTTGTTAAAACATTCACGAATTCATGTAATTAAAACAAATTGTAATGTTTGTAGTAAATCATTTAATGATGCTGCTACGTTTAAAGAGCATAAAAAAACTCATATGAGAGAGAAACCTTTTAAATGTGATGTTTGTAGTAAATCATTTTTTAATGTCACAAGTTTGAAGTCCCATGGCAGATCCCACTTGTCAAAGAAGTTATTTGAATGTGATGTTTGTAAAAAGTCGTTTAGAAATCGCATGAATTTAAGCTATCATATGGCATCTCACAAAACCATAGACAAAAATCTGGAATCTGAACCACCTAAACCGGACAGCATTGAGGACAAAGCACATCACCTTGTTGATGGGGCACCTACATCGAGTACGATACTGAAGCCAAAGATCAAGGCTACCCCTTCCAAGAAGTCCGTTGATTGTGACGTTTCTAGTAAATCATTTAAAAGCAGCCCCGTTTTGAAATACCATATGAGGTCTCACAAAATCATAGACAAAAATTTGGAAACTGAACAACCACCTAATCTAGACAGCATTGAGGACAAAGCAGATGAAACTGTTGATGAGGCACCTACATCTAGTAAGATGCTGAAGCCAAAGATCAAGACGACTCCTTCCAAGAAGTCCTCTGATTGTGACATTTGTAGTAAATCATTTAAAAGCAGCCGGGCTTTAAAATTCCATGTGAGTTCTCACAAAATCATAGACAAAAATCTGGAAACTGAACAACCAGCTAAACTGGACAGCATTGAGGACAAAGCACATGACATTGTTGACGGGGCAACTACTACATCTCATAAGATGCAGAAGCCAAGGATTGAAACTACTCCTTCTAAGAATTCAACTGTATGTGGCATTTGTAACCGATCTTTTAAAACCTGCCATATGAGATCTCACGAAAACCCCAGACGAAAACCTTCCACCATTGAGAACAAAGCAGATGACAAATCAACAGTTGGGATACTGAAGCCACGTACCTGTTGCAAAACTCCTGCAAAGTCTCGCTTTAAATGTGATGTTTGCAATAAATCCTTGAAAACTAAGATGGCTTTAAGATTTCACTCAAAAACTCATAAATCTATAAACCTAAAAATAGAAAATGATGGTGTCCATAAAGCATCTAAAATTAATAAAATGCTAAATGTGACCAAAACTTTTGAATGTCATGTTTGTGGAAAGTCCTTTAAGAATAAAAGGGCTTTAAATTTCCATTCAAAAACTCACAAAATTTTAAGAAAAAGTTTGGAAAAGGAACCTCTTAAAACAGATCATGGGGTTGGAGAAGAAGATACATGTACAAATTTTGATGACACAGATGGTGACGTGGATGGAGCAGTGGACAGTGGAGGTGAAGCAGAAGATAATACGGAAGATGCAAGTGATATCACTGATGAAGAACAAGTTGAGTGTCCAGTTAGCTTTGAGCCATTTGCTTGCCTTGAAAACCAAGAAATCCACAGGAAACGCCATTCATCTAAGAAGACTTCGACCAGTAATCCCGCAAACTTTATGTGTCAAGTCTGTGGAAAGAACTTGTCATCCAAAGACAGTTTGCAGACACACTCTCGACTTCACACAGGAGAAAAACCTTTTGTTTGTGATATTTGTGGTACAGCATTCAGCGATAAAGGTGCCCTGACGAAACATTCTGTCACTCATTCTAGGGAAAGGAATTATTGTTGCGAAATATGTGGTCGTGGTTTTGGTCTTGCAGGTCTACTCACACGTCATATGTCTGTCCACTCTGACAAAAAACCATTCAAATGTAAAGTTTGTGATAAAGCATATAAACGGAAGACTGAGTGTAATATACATTTTAGAAAGCAGCATTGTAATTTGGAAGTGAATGTCTACAAGGAAATATTTGAGGTAGAAAGAGCCGAATGCAATCTGTGCCAGAGACTGGTAAAAAAAAAGTACATGAAAGAACATATGAAAAGCCATAGAGTAAGGGTTCGATCGTTCGCTTGTGATGTTTGTCCTTTATCCTTTGTACGCAAATCTACTTTATTGAGGCATATGAAAACTCATACAGGTAAAAAACCTTACAAATGTGACCGGAAGGGATGTGAAATGGCATACCTAGCGAAAAGTGATTTACTCCGACATATCAGAAATTTTCATGACAAGTTTAGACCTTTCACTTGTGATGTCTGTCAGAGAGATTTTTTTGATAAAACGCGTTTAGAATTGCATAGCAGTGAGCATACAGGAAAGTACCGTTATAAGTGTAATAATTGTGGTAAAAATTTCAATTACAGAAGCAGATATCTCAAGCATTTAGCTAGGACACTTAAGTGTAAAAGGAAACAGGAGCAAAAAACCCCAAAGAAAAGTGATTCTGTGGGACAAAAAAAAATGAAAAGAGCAAGATTTACAAACAATGGGAAATCAACACCAGCAAAATCAGATGTTGCGAATTCTCAGAAACCAGAACTGGTAGCAAAACCATTAGTTGTAAGTCATCCATTACTAGTGACACCAGCTTCACCCAAACAACCCAATCCCAACGGGGAACAAAATACTAAGACGTTGGATGATAGGGGCCTTTTAGAAAATGAAGAAGTGATTGAAAAAAATAAATCTTCTGGAGATTCAGATCTTCCAGAAAAGTCTAAATTTCCAGCATCAAAAAGCACAGATGTGAAAGAAAGTCAAACACATAGAATTAATCTAGGCTACAAATGTGATGTCTGCAATGATCGGTTTTCTTTGAGCAAAGATCTTCAGACTCACATTATGCTGCATTTAAAAGCTGCCATGTCCCCACGAGCTGATGCCCGAGAAGTCACACAAGTGATGGAGAAGACACCTGCACCTGGTGTTAATATTAATAGCCAGGAAGAAAAATATGGCCAATGGTTAAACCAAAGAGAAGATTCTTTATTTGATGCACCACAACAGAAGGCTTTTCCATCAGCTGTAATAGATGAAAAGGTGTTCAATGACTCTTCTGTGCTGAGTAATTTTGGTGCTGCAGAATGTTCAGATAGTGCTGATGTGGCAGATGATGATAGTGATTACAATGAACTCCCAGCTATTGATGACAAAGGTGTTAAAGAGCAAGATGTGCTAACTTTTGAAAAAACTGTGCACACTGAAGTTGCAGAACTGAAGAATCAAGAAAAGTCTGAGCAAGAACCAGTGAATATTAATGGCAATAAGGCTATGGAAGTGAATGTGGAAATGAAGGCGGAGGAATTAAATAAAGCAGAGCCCCTAAACAAGTTATTTGAGGCCCCACAACTGAAGTCTTTCCCATCAGCTGTAATTGTTGAAAAGGACTCTTCTATGCTGAGTAATAATGGTGCTGCAGAATGTTCAGATGTTGCTGACGTGGCAGATGTTGATAGTGATTACAATGGACTCCCAGTTATTGATGACAATGGTGTTAAAGAGCAAGATGGACTAACTTTTGAAAAATCTGTGCACACTGAAGTTGCAGAACTGAAGAATCAAGAAAAGTCTGAGCTAGAACCAGTGAATATTAATGGCAACAAGGCTATGGAAGTCAGTGTGGAAACCAAGGCGGAGGAATTAAATAATGCAGAGTACCTAAATAAGTTATTTGATGCCCCACCACTGAAGGCTTTTCCATCAGCTGTAATTGTTGAAAAGGACTCTTCTATGCTGAGTAATTCTAGTGTTGCAGAATATTCAAATGGTGCTGATGTGGCAGATGATAATAGTGATTACAATGGAGTCCCAGCTATTGATGACAATGGTGCTAAAGAGCAAGATGGACTAACTTTTGAAAAATCTATGCATACTGAAGTTGCAGAACTGAAGAATCAAGAAAAGTCTGGGCAAGTACCAGTGAATATTAATGGCAATAAGGCTATGGAAGTGAATGTGGAAACCAAGGTGGAGGAATTAAATAAAGCAGAGCCCCTAAACAAGTTATTTGATGCCCCACAACTGAAGTCTTTGCCATCAGCTGTAATTGTTGAAAAGGACTCTTCTACACTGAGTAATTCTGGTGCTGCAGAATCTTCAGATGGTGCTGACGTGGCAGATGTTGATAGTGATTATGATGGACTCCAAACTATTGATGTCAATGGTGTTAAAGAGCAAGATGGGCTAACTTTTGAAAAATCTGTGCATACTGAAGTTGCAGAACTGAAGAATCAAGAAAAGTCTGGGCAAGAACCAGTGAATATTAATGGCAACAAGGCTATGGAAGTCAATGTGGAAGCCAAGACGGAGGAATTAAATAATGCAGAGTACCTAAATAAGTTATTTGATGCCCCACAACTGAAGGCTTTTCCATCAGCTGTAATTGTTGAAAAGGATTCTTCTATGCTGAGTAAATTTGGTGTTGCAGAATGTTCGGATGGTGCTGATGTGGCAGATGATGATAGTGAATACGATGGACTCCCAGCTATTGATGTCAATGGTGTTAAAGAGCAAGATGGACTAACTTTTGAAAAATCTGTGCACACTGAAGTTGCAGAACTGAAGAATCAAGAAAAGTCTGAGCTAGAACCAGTGAATATTAATGGCAACAAGGCTATGGAAGTCAATGTGGAAATCAAGGCTGAGGAATTAAATAATGCAAAGTCAGATGAAAGTCATCTACGAAGTAACACAGATAACAAAGAGTCGAGTTCTGTGGATAACAAAGAACCTATAGCTTCAGCTTTTTTTGATGATGGTGATTCAGATGATAGCATGGTAATAAATGTATCCTCTATTTTACCAAAAAACATTTTCTGATCATCGGGACAATAGTGATCCTTCTGATCGTAGCGCTGTTAAAATTGACACATTATTAACCGAGGAGCAAGGTTCAAGCACCAGAAAGTTCAAAAAGAGGAAGATGGTACCCAAGCAAGATGGTGATAAAATATTTTCCTGTAACTTCTGTAGTAGAATATTTCCCACTGAGAAAGGATTAAACTGACATTTAGTCTCGCAAGTTGACTCAATGACAGACCTAATGATACAAGCACAGACACTAACCATTCAGCTATACACCCTCACCCACCCCGTATTAATAAGCAATTTAGTTTTCAGCATGTATACAGTAAACTTTGGATAAGTCGGATATAAGTGGACTGACCAATTTTATCTGAGTCAAGCGAAATTCAATCTTAACTTGATTAGAAATAAACTGCAAGAGCAGGATAAGAATTGATTCAAAGGCACATTTCAAGCTTTTCTATGTGCGGGTAGATAACTTCTGTTTTGGTGCGGGTAGATAACTTCTGTTTTGTTGCCATCTTTGAAAAATGTCCTAAATTTTCCTTGAAAGTGTCTTGTACAGCAAACAGTGAGTTTTGAATTTTCCGGGAAAATTCTATTATTGCGTCGTGTCAAATTGGCTGATTTGAGTCAAAATGATAGGGAAAAGTATTTTGGGGCTCTGTGCATGGAATAATACCTAACCGCGTTTTAGACCATCGGGACGAAACGGATCAAATGGATTGATCCGAGTTAAGCAAAGATCCGACTTAGGAAATCTGACTGACGCGTAGAAATTTAATAAGAAAAATGTGCAGGATAAACGAGTTCAAATGATTTTATCCGAGTTGAGCGAAGATCCGACTGACTTATGCAAAGTTTACTGTACTTTAAAGGGGTATTATGGAAGATGAGATAAAGAGTTGACAATTCTTGCTATAATAGTTAAAAAATACATAATGTAAATTACACAGTCAAATTGCTCCACTCTGAACCGATATATTAGCTTTTGGATTTAAACCTAGCCTCAATCATTACTAAAGTCGGTACGATAAAAAAAAAGTCTTGATTATCCATTTTTAGGTTTAATCATGTGTTCCAATCCGCTAAATATCGCAGGCTGGCGATGGCATCGAGAGTTGATTATAGTCTGGATAAGTTAATTAATGTCTAATTAATAATTTAGATAACATTTCAGTCCTGTAAAAGTCAGATTTAGTTCTTGCATAATGTATGTTTAATTTGGGGAAGGACAAGAATACATATATTAATTCACACATACATCGCAGGGCAAATGGCTATATTCTTTGGAAACTTAAAATAAAAGACAATGTATCTAAGGGGATTTATATTTAATTTGTTAAATTGTTATTGTTATTTCTAATCAGTGAAATATGTGATCATTCCAAATTGAACGGCAGTCGTTTGTGTCTGCTGAATCTGATTAAAATAGAGATCTATATTTCGTTTAATTTTTTTTTATACTTTCGATGGCGTACATTACATGAAGATCTGACCAGTTGTACTGGAGGGTAGTGCCAGGGTCCTATGAGTGGCTTTTGACCCTATGATGTCAGATTAATCAATCAGCGTTGACGTTTCTAGTGTTTTACCTACAGTTCCGTGCATCGCATGCCAAGAAGTCGCCGTAACAGATGGTTTCATTGGCTAATCCCTCACACCATCCAGAATGCCTGTTATATAACAACTCTTCCAGATCCTAGTGTAGTACAGACAAATAAAACGATATTTTGAACTATAAAAAACTAAACGAAATAGGATCTGTGTTTTAATCAGATTAGTGTCTGCTTAGTACATTCCACACGTTTGTAATATTATTCTTTTGTTGTTCGGGAATCAGTTATTACTAATGGGCGTCCTCGCTGAAGGAATTCCCACCAGGTGTCGCTAGTAAAAACTCGGTTCCACGTGACCTTATCGATGGTAAGAGAACCGTATCGGTATTAAATTCCATATTAACGACAAAAACTAACATTTGTCAAGGAATTCCCAGCAGGTGTCGCTAGTAAAAACTCGGTTCCATGTGACCTTATTGATGGTAAGAGAACCGTATCGGTATTAAATTCCATATTAACGACAAAAACTAACGTTTGTCAACACACGAGTTCATAATGAATGTACAGGAAAACTGTGCTATAAGGTAAACAATGAGGTCACGTGGGACTGCCTCGTCTATAAATTATGTCCCTTTATCTCTAGCGAGGACGCCCATTACTTCCACATTGTCCTGTAGGATATGTTTTTCTTTGTTCATTACAAATGGCACCCAAAATTACAGAATACAAGACTCGTGTACTGGTTATAAAATGTTCATTGTGTCTTAGATATTGGATATTAGGATCTCATATTGTCACAGCAAGATAAAAACATCAATATTGATTGAAATGAACAAATGTTGAATTCTAATTGGTGTTTTTAATTTCAAATATTATGTTAAATATTGAGGTAGAGGCTTAGCTCCTTTAATATAAAATTTTAGTGAATATTTTATTTAAATATTATGTTAATTATTGAGGTAGATACTTAGCTCCTTTAATTTAAAATTGTAGTGAATATATTATTTAAAAACTGGGTATCTTTGAGTAATTTAATTTTGTTATGGGCTGTGTGTGATTGTTATCGGGGTCAGATAAATTCAGTATTATTTCTTATGTATTGTTTTTACTGTAAGAAGTTAGAAATCTGTCGAGGGGGTTGGATGACCAAGTGGTTAGCACATGCACGCTGTATTATAAGGTCTGTTATTGAGTGAATTGGTGTGGTTTCGATTCCCTGGTTGTACGTGACAAGGAGTAGGGTCGCATGACCAACCTTGTGGGTTTTCTCCGGGTCCTCCGGTTTCCTCCCACTACTAAAGACCCCTACGTGCAAGGAATTATTGAAATAAAATTGAACCATGTGTTTGTCCCTAAATGACCTAGTTTGTGTCGAGTGGACATTAAACCCCATTTCTCTCTCTCTATAAATCTGTCGTTAAAATATTGAATATCTGACGACTTAGTTCACGCTACTCTAATTATTTACCATTTAATTTTATCCTATAATAAAGAATTTTAAATCTGGTATTTTTCTTTCATGAAGCGGCCCATACTCGTTCAATTTTTCCGTCAATTAATTGATGTAAATTAATTGATGAAATTGACCTTTCCAACACACAATCAATGTTTTAGCGTCAGTTTTGTTTCTGATTGAAAACTTTGAGATGAAAGCATCTCTGGCACTAGCAATGTCTTCCATACACGTTTAATTTCTTCGTTAATTACTTGACATCAATTAATTGACCCAAAATTGAACGGTGTGGGCCGCTTAAGAACTGTCCTGTTCTGTTTCTGTCAAACTGCTCTGTAAGTCATTAATTATATCATTTATGTGTACCTTCTCTTTGATATCTTGTTTTGTTCCAAAATCTGTCAGGAGGGTTGGATGGCCGAATGGTTAGCACGTGCGCGCTGTATCATAAAGCCTGTCATTGAGTCAACTGGCGTGGTTTCGAATCCACGGTTGTATGTGACAAGGAGTAGGGTTTTCTCCGGGTACTCCGGTTTCCTCCCACTGCTTAAGACCCCTACACACATGCGAATTATTAAAATAAAAAATTAAACCATATGTTTGTCCCGAAATGTCCTAGTCTGTCTCGAGTGGACGTTAAACCCCATTTCTCTCTCTCTCTTTCTCTAAATCTGTCAAAATTAGAATTAATACATTAATAAGCATATTCTCTTTCGAAGTAACTATTTTGTCAAAATTTAATTTGTATATTTTATATTGTTAATTTTATACTAAAATTTAATTTCAATGTACCGGTAACTGTTCTGTCAAAATTTTAATTGTATATATTTTATAGTGGTAATTTGTGTGCACATATATAATATACAAGGGGTATAAATTTTGCTTTATTTTTTATTTTTGATTCTTTAAATGAGTTGGTGTAATCCAAAATATGTATAAATAGGCTGACTAGATGGATATTTATCATTAACTTGAAAACGTGTTACGAAACGTAGTTATTAAATAATAGAGAAGTAGTTATATCCATATATACCTTGTGTTGTTTTATTATGAATGATTTTTTGTTTTTTGCATAATATATTAATAAGAACTTCAAAGTAACTGTTCTGTCAAAATTTAAATTCTATATATACTCTTCAAAAAAAGTAGGGGATATTGAAATGCAAATACCTATGCAGGTTGTGATATGATAAATAGTCTTGGACACTTGACATGCTTTGAGAGTATGTTCACAGATGAAGAACTTATTGCCCCAACAGAACCACTCGGCTGCATGTGCGACACGCAATAGCGCCATACATGTGGGAGGGATTCATTGTCAAATTTGATTCTTCAAGGAAGGGTTGATGAAAACTGCTGCTTGCTGGTTTATCCTATCCATGTTAGCTTTCCTATCGGTTCTTGCATAAGATTTAATGTTAGCATATCTTTGCTTTAGTGTGTTACGTTTAATTTGATTGGGAGATGTGTTCGTGACGTCAAACGACAACACTGCCAGAATTGGCCGTGGCACTGCAAGAGGAGTGGGTCAGATTGCCCCAAATCATGATTGGATGGTTGATAAGGAGCTTGCCACGATGAACTGCTGAATGTCTGAGGATTTGTGGAGCAATTACTCACTATTAAGACAAAAATAAAAAATGTCCATTTTCAGTTTTGACAGTGTATCTCTTTGCGAGTGAAATGGGGCCGTGAGATAAGCCGCCCATATGAACTGTTTATGTCCATGTGTAGGCAATTGGCCTGTTATTAACATACACTGGTTACCTCTAATAAAAACAGCAGTGCATTTCTGCAGTTTTGTATTGTTTCTGAATATCCCCTACTTTTTCTGAGGAGTATATATTTTAGTGTTAATTTGTGTGCACATATATAATATACAAACAGTATAAATGTTGCTTGATTTTTTTTTTACATAATATATTAATAAGAACTTCAAAGTAATTGTTCTGTCAGAATATTTATTGTATATTTTATAGTGTTAATTTGTGTGCGCATATATAATATACATAGAGTAAAAATGTTGCTTAATTTATTTTGTATATTCAAAATGTATAATATCTCATTGATGCCTTATACATATATAGTATAACACGCATCATATATAATGAATAAATTTTTAAAATTTATCCAGAGTTTTATGTGGCCTTTCATCAAATTAATCAGCAGTAAATATTTGAAGAGTCCAGGGGAAGAACGATCTAAGTCACATTTTTTGTCTTTTCGCATAAAAGGCAAAACAGACTTTTAGACGAGAATGCTTGACGCGAACATCGGTTGTATGTGACAAGGAGTAGGGTCGCCTGTCCAAGCTCGTGAGTTTTCTCCGGGTCCTCCGGTTTCCTCCCACTGCTAAAGACCCCTACGCGCAAGCGAATTATTGAAATAAAATTGAACCATGTGTTAGTCCCGAAATGACCTAGTTTGTGTCGAGTGGACGTTAAACCCCATTTGTAGCACCATGAGTCTTCCTGTCTGACGTGGAGAGCGGACATTGTCAAACCGGTCGCCACATCCTACATACGACCCATGCATCTTTTCTTACTACATATTTCTGTAGCCTTGTGATCGTCTAGAATTTGTCTCTAGATGTCTTTACTTCTGCTTCACGTTGTGTATTTACTTCTTACAGTTTCTTAAGACGTCTTTCTTACCAGGAATAACAATGCGACAGTTTGCTTTTACATATTTTATATATATATATAGCTGAATACAGGTATACAAGCATAATAGATAACAATACTAGCTAAAACCATTTCTCTACCCTAGCCAGCCTCGCGGCTGTCTAGGAACTCAGATGTAAGCTCTCTGGAACCTAATAGAAGTCTGACTTACAGGGTTCCCCGGTTTCTTTTAAAGGTATTTGAATATCATGCACAATAAAGCGTGATCATGGCCCTGAACTTGTGTAATTAACAAAATGATTGGTTACTTTAAATCAAATGATGCAATTAGAATAATTCCACTCATGTGTAATTCTGGTGGTAAATAATTGACAAGTTTTGGTTAAAGACTCTTTTTTATATAACAATATGTCATTTAAACCCTAAGTTGATTTAAGTATTTTAAGTACATATCACATATTATGCGAATACAGCTGTATGTTATTTCTCGAGCAAAAATTCTACTAAAAGTATTACATTCGTCCCTTTCTTTAAGACTTTTTGCTCGGTATTGGGTAAAAGATCCCTTGAATCCTTTATAATAACCATACCAACATCTGTAGAATTATATAACTATTCATAAATGTAGCAGAAATCTAGAAAATAAACATATATCACCTCCCCCACTTGCAAGATTTATGCTAAATGAACAGGTAGGAGACTCTTAAAACTTCTATGTGCTAAACCCTATAATTATTCATGCAACAGGCAAATATCAATGATACTATACTATATAACAAAACTGTGAAAACACAAACACACATATAATCAAAAATCAAAAATCAAAAGTTGCATGCAAAAGTTCTCCAAAAAGTTCATCACTGTAAAATCCTATGAAAATCCACTAAGCCTAAACACAGAAAACACAAATTGTCTTTTTTAAATCTTCAAGTATCCTAATTTCAAAACACTATAACACATCACATAATATTTATAAAGTTCAGGTTTCACTTTAAATTCTGTCTCAGGAAATGTCAATTTGGTAAATTGGTAAACCATTTCTTCTTCTTGGATTTGTATTGGTCTGTTCCAGCTACCATAGTGTCAAGTTGAAACTTTCTTTTTTTTTCTTCTAAGTATGATTGGTTTGTACAATTTTATCCGTCAATCAAACATGTCATTGCCATCAGACCAAGAACTAACTATTCCTAAATTATTAAAACTTTATTTTGCTATTTATTAGTCTAACATTATTATTTCGAAAAATTATTAGTAAATCTTACTTTTAATTAAAATTAAACTTTATTTAATTATTAATAAACTTTGATGTGTCCCTTTAATTATAAATTTCAAACTAACTTTGACCTCATGACCTAACTCGATAAGTAATGGACAATTTTATAATTACGGTTATGTTTTATAATTTCCGTTTCTGTTTTAGAATTCCTACATTATTATTTTATATTTCACCGTCAGTAATGTGACCTTTCGACCTAATCACTATACAATTCTAATTTCTGTTTTGACTACTATTTCGTTTTTTTTACATGTCAACCAAACAAATATAATGTTATCGTACACCACTGAATGTCTAAAACAAACCGGATCCTAAGCTTATTCCAACATTAGTATGACATAACACTATCGAGAATGTCAATCAAATATGGCCAGTATATGAATGACATTCCAATGTATCCTACAGTATGACGCGAAACCCCATTTCATTTCATTTATAACCATGTCCCAAGTGAATAAGTGCACTTTCATCTACAGGAACATTAGTCTATACACATACAGTTTACTATATCCTATATATTAACGCGTCACGTCAAATTTAACACAGTGTTAGAACCTATTGTTTATTATAATTCGACCTCATGTCAAATTACACATTCCTAATCATTGCGTACATGTCGACAGCTTAAAGGAATTAGCAGTATATATTAAACGTTAATCTTACGTTTCTAAAGCAAAAATTTAAAATACATGAAATTATATACGGACAAAATCTACCGTATACCTACACTTTTCTAAAAAAGTGTCGCATTCTTAACTTGAACCTCCTATAAAACTCGTATTAATGACTTTGCGATAATCTCACAATTTAACGAGCCTATAATTTTAGTTTTTTTTCCCAGGAAAACTATAACCAACATCCCTATTTTTAATTATATGGGATTTTTAACATAACCTAACTTTTTAATCAAAAGTTAAATTACAACAACTCTAAGGCCTGGACTAAGGGCCTCAAAATTATATAGTATACGAAACAACAAAAAACAAAAATTAACGAATCACAGTAGAAACCACGGCCAACTAGGAAACTAGAGTTAATCACTCACAAACTTCATCCTTAGCTCTGCCGTCGTTCTCACTGTGATCCGGAGACAACATTAGTTCCTTACTTTATTCTCTATTCCGTTTCCTTATTATTCCTTAGTTATATCAAAAATTTTTTTTTAAAACCTACTCCTTAAACTTTCTCTTTAACCTTAATTTTACTACAAATTTACTACAGGTCATGTTAACCTGGCAATGTACACACCTAACCAGTGATATTATATTGTTTAATAAACCTATCAATCAAAACTTATGAATGACTCTAATTTATTCTCTATACAGTTAAATTTTAAATACTTAGTTTCTAATCAGATTTTAACTTTAAATTAATATTATTTGGTCTTTAAACAAATTGAACACATTTAATTTACCAAACAAAATGTATTTACCCAATATTTCGAATATCTTCACCAGATTTCTTTTTTTCCACCACAATTTTTCTGTTGCTGGATTGTACAGGTTTTCTTCTTAACGTCTTCAAATATGTATTCTTCTTCTAAAGTGACTTCTTACCCCAAAGGTCGAAACTTCGTTACGGCACCAAATCGAATATGTAAGACTATGCAGTGCTATGCAGTCGCTGGTTAGATGTGGAAAATATGTGATGCTTACTCTCTTTTCTTCTAATCTTCTTCCAGGTTACTCGATCTCGTAGTCACGTGCACCAAATCGAATATGTAGCACCATGAGTCTTTCTGTCTGACGTGGAGAGCGGGCGTAAATGTTGGAAAAACCGGTCGCCACATCCTACGTCCGACCCACGCATCTTTTCTTACTACATATTTCTGTAGCCTTGTGATCGTCTAGAATTTGTCTCTAGCTGTCTTTACTTCTGCTTCACGTTGTGTATTTACTTCTTACAGTTTCTTAAGACGTCTGTCTTGCCAGGAATAACAATGCGACAGTTTGCTTCTACATACCATTTCTCTACCCTAGCCAGCCTCGCGGCTGTCTAGGAACTCAGATGTAAGCTCTCTGGAACCTAATAGAAGTCTGACTTATAGGGTTCCCCGGTTTCTTTTAAAGGTATTTGAATATCATGCACAATAAAGCGTGATCATGGCCCTGAACTTGTGTAATTAACAAAATGATTGGTTACTTTAAATCAAATGATGCAATTAGAATAATTCCACTCACGTGTAATTCTGGTGGTAAATTATTGACACGTTTTGGTTAAAGACTCTTTTTTATATAACAATATGTCATTTAAACCCTAAGTTGATTTAAGTATTTTAAGTACATATCACATATTATGCGAATACAGCTGTATGTTATTTCTCGAGCAAAAATTCTACTAAACGTATTACACATTTCTCTCTCTCTATCTCTTGACGCGAACAGAACAATGAATGGGTTTAATTACAACTTTAAAATGATGTTTAATACGAATCATAATTACCAGTACAACAACTGACTTCCACTTTTCAGCCAAATTAAGGTCAAATAAAGGGTACGATGGACATATTTGTCCGGGAGGCTATTTCAGAAGGGCCTTGGTTCGATGTGACTCTGAACGTTTTTACCTGAAATATTGCCGCTATTATCACTGAAAGGGGTGACATTGGTGTGAGTCAATTAACCCTCAATATTAACCTTTTTCTTCCGCAAATTGAATTCTAATACAGCTTTTAAATTATTAAGAATCCCCACAATAGTGCCAATAGAGTGAAAAGGAGGATTTGTGCCAATTGAATAATCCAATGCGCACATGTTAACCATTCGCCCACCTCTCAGATTCTGAAAGGGATTAATTTATAATACCATGCTGTTGAACTGCCAGAGCCACGGTGGCTAAGTGGGTAAGACGCTGGCTCACTAGCCTGGAGGTCATGTGTTTGATCTCTGCATTGGCCGAGAAAGTTCATCGGGATTTTCGGATGTGGTTTACCCCAGTCAGGAGGTAGGGCCTGACATGGACAGCTGTCTAGCAGTTCGGATGGGACAAAAAACAGGTCCCGTGTATACATGTTGTGCACGTAAAAGATCCCTTGGCAGTTGGAATTTGATATAAGAGTAAGAGTAGGCCATAGTGCTGCTGCCCGAGCAAAATTTCCCTGATAGCACACTGTATGGCGTATGCCGTATGCCAGTCAGAGCAGAACAGTAGGATCCCATTTCATTTCATCGTTGAACTGCCTATATTACATGAAAACATAAAATGCAAGTGAAGATTTTGATGCTTTATT